ATATATATATATATTTCTAGTTCTCTTAGCACAAGATGCTAATTAGTGTTTAAGGGCTCAGTGTTCAGAGGACTTCTCTTTGCAGGCGTTATAAAGGGATATGAAATTGAGGAGCCCTTTGTGACTTTGCTGCTACACAATTTGTTTGCAAGGGAATAATAATATTAGGGACGGTCGAGAGGAGGGATAAGGGAACGTATGCAAATTTATAAAAGGGCAGAGAGGGGATAAAAGGGCTGAGGATGTTGTAAGGAGTATGCAGAATTTGATATTATAATTATCATATCATATGTAGATGCGTGTTTGCATATGTAGATGGAATTAGAACTGTTATAATTTTGCATGTCAGTAGAGTTATCTCTTATTATTGTATTTTTATCGTTAGTTAGGGTATATTTTAATATATTTTATTTGTTCCAAAGAAATTTATATTTTTAACTTCCCGTAGGGTAAGTTATTGTAATGGGCCGAAAATCGGAATTGAAAATTTTTACATTTCTCGACGTTTTGAAGGTTTCTGAACATATTGGCATACCTCAGAAAAAATGGATGTGTGTGTGTGTGTGTGTGTGTGTGTGTGTGTGTGTATGTATGTATGTGTGGATACAAATTTCCAGTCACGTTTTAGGTCGCACGGATCAACCGATTTGAATGGTTCAAAAAACATTCGATTCCTATTGATAGGGAAAAGAGCTGATTAGTTTTTGGCAAAGGCAGGTCCAGCCGTTTCGGAGATACGGAGCAAAGAGTGCGGAAAATAGAAATCGAATTTTTGAGAGAACGGAGTATCCGATTTGAATGATCTAAAAAACATTCAATTAGTAATGATTGGGAGAAGTGTTTTTTAGTTTTTGGCAAAGGCAGGCCCAGCCATTTCGAAGATACGGAGCTAAATATGTAAAAAATGGCAGTTTTTGAGAGAACTAAGCGTCAGATTTGAATGATTCAAAAAACTTTCTGCTTGTCTTAACAAAATAATTGACTTTGGAAAAAAAAAATTTTGTTCAATTTTTTTTTTTTTTTTTTTTAGTTTTTTGTTGAAACAAATAATTTCAACTTCGCAATTCAGTTTATATAATTCTTATAAATATTAGACAATGTTACAATATTTATAATAATCTATTTGAAAACATTCAGTATTCCTCGAACATTTCGTTACGGTACGGGAAGTTCCAGCAATTTGCCTTAAGGCACGATGCCACCCACCCCACTAGTTAAAATATATTTTGCATGTTAGTAGAGTTCCTTTTTCCTGTTCTAATTATTATATTTCGCTCGTTAGTAGAGTCCCTTTTTCTAACTATTTTATTTTACGTGTCAGTGAAGACCCTTTTTCCTGTTCTAATTATTATATTTTTCTCGTCAGTAGAGTCCCTTTTTCCTGATATATTTATTATATATTGCTCGTCAGTAAAGTTACTTATTCTAATTATTTTATTTTGCAAATCAGTAAAGTTTGTTTTTCCTATTGTTTAATTTTGTTCGTCAGTAGAGTTTATTTTTCTTACTTTGATAATTTGTTCGTCAGTAGAATCCGTTATTCTAATTATTTTTTGATCATCAGTAGAATTTCTTTTTCAAATCATTATTTTTTGCTCTTCAATAAAGTTTTTTTTCGAATTATTGACTTTTGCTCGTCAGTAGAGTTTTTTTCTCTTTCTTTGATAGTTTGTTCGTTAGTAGAGTCTTTTATTATAATTATTTTTTGATCGTCAGTACAGTTCCTTTTTCTAATTATTTTATTTTGCTTGTCAGTAAAGTTCTTTTTTCTAATTATTATATTTAGCCCGCCAAAAGATTTTTTTTATAAATATTAGTAAATTTTGCTTGTCGGTAGAGTTCCTTTTTTTAAATACTATAGTATTTTGTTGTCAATAGAGTCCCTTTTTTCTTCCTCTAAATATTATTAAATTTTGGTAGTCAGTAGTGTTCCTTTTTCTATTTCCAAAATGTTCAGAAACCTTTAAAACGTAAAAAATATAAAAAATTTAATTTTCGATTTTTTTACGATTACTATAACTTTCCCTAAGGGTAGTTAATACAAATGTTTGCATATCTTCACGTTTCAGAGGTTTCTGAACATTTTAGTAGCATACCTCAAAAAAAATAGATGTGTGTGTGTGTCTGTGATATGTATGTACTCGTCAATAGAATACTTTTTTTCTCACATCCAAAATTAATTTGTTCGTCAGTAAAGTCCTCATTTAATCTTGTAGGTTGTTATTTGATTTGATCGTCAGTAGAGTCCTTTTCATTTTCTTCTGATGCAAATATTCTTGATCCTTTGTCAGTAGAGTCCTATTTTAGTCACCAATTTCACAATCTAATTTATTTACTAATAAAGTCCTATTTCAATAAATTACATTAGAACTTAATTTGCTTCTCAGTAGAATCCTTTCCTTCTCGTTCGTCAGTAGAGTCCTTTCTCTTCAAATATTTTCAAATTATAATTCAGTTTGTTTGTCAGTATAGTCTTTTTCTTCTTCTCATGTAAAAGTTCGTTCGTCAGTAGAGTTTTTTTTAGTCGTTAATAGTAAAATTTAATTTGCTTATCAGTAGAGTCCTAATGTATTTAGTCTTTTACCTTACATTTTAATTTGCACGTCAGTAAAGTCATATTTTAATCTTATGTATTAAAATTTAAAATGCTAAGATAACTGTCAGTAGAGTCCTATTTTTATTTTTTGACTTCTCGTAGATTAAGGTATAGTTATAGCAAAAAAATCAAAAATATTTTTTTTTTGCAAATTTTCAAAGGTTTCAAAGGTTTCTGAACATTTTTGCATACTTTAGAAAAATGGATGTATGTATGTGTGTGTAAGTGCGGATACAATTTTGCGTCGACGACTTTGGGAACACGGATCAATCGATTTCCACTGATAGAGAGATGTGCTGATCAGTTTTTGGCAAATGTAGGTACAGCCGTTCCGGAGATACGGAACAAAAACTGTAATTCAAATTTTGAGAAAACGAAGTGTCCGATTTGAATGATTTAAAATGCATTTTATTTGTATTGACTAAACAAAGAACTGTATAAATTTTTCCAAAGGCAGGTCTGGTGGTTTCGGAGATCCAATGAAAAAAGTAAGAGAAAATGCTATTTGGCGATCCAAAATGATCATTAGACATATGCACATCAAATTATCAGATATTTTATAGAGATTTTAATAATGAATAGAAATTTTGTTTACACTTCTATGAGTTCCGTACCAAGACTGCGGCGCGACGCTTGCGCGCTTCTATATTTCATCTCTACGCAGAGCGATTGCTCTGTATAAATTAAATTAAATTTTACAAAATTATCAAAAGTCAAATTGACATTTGAAATTTAAAATTTATTTTATATTGACGTAACTGTGTGGACTTTTGATTGCAACAAGTTGAATTTAATTCATTAATTAAATATTAAATTGCACTCTAAGTATTTTCCAAGGAAAAAACAAAATATTTGTTGATGACAGAAAATTGTACCAAAAATAAGGTAATTTGTATATACATATTTTTTAACTTAAGGATAAAATATTTTGCATTTATGTATTTAGTATTTGAACGGAACCCTAATGGTTTATCAATATATTTGGATAGTTCTCGTCCTTTCATTTGATACGCCACATGCCATATTTAATATGAAAAAATATTGATCATCATAATTAAGCAATCCATTGGTCTACTTTCCTTTATATTTCTTGTAACTCTTGAACCGTTTGTCCAAAATAAATGAAATATTTGCCAAATTTGTGCTGAATTTAACTGCATTTAATAATGTCAGATGTAGAAACTATACATATAGTTGACATACTTTTAATTTGCTTAAAATAATATTAAATAAATACTTTGTACGGAACCCTATTGCTTTGTTGTAGTTTTCATCACGATTTTTATATAGTACTCGTCGAGACCTTTCATTTGATACCCCACATCGTTGTTTGACCATATAAAAATATAATATTTTGACCCAATCCGGCCCACTGTACTATTTATAGAATAACAATCATACTTGTGACAACTGCTTTAGAACTATGTGTAACACTATAAATTCAATCGAGGTGATCGTTCATATTTTTAGATAAAAAAGATAACTGCAAAAAAATTAGAAAATATATTTTGCATTGGCCATATGTACTATTTATTACTAAGTATTTTTGTTAATTTGTATCTTGTACGAAACTTTATTGGTTTGATGAATATTTGAGTATGATATTTCCAAAGTAGTCGTCGAGACCTTTCATTTGACACCCCACATCGATTTTTGACCATATGGAAATATTTTGGTCCAATCCGGCCCACTGTACTATTTACAGTGCACGCAACTTCAGACCGGTACTTGTGCATCTAATTATTAAATCTCTCGTAACTCCTGAACGGTATGTCCGATTTAAACGAAATATTCGACAAAATCGTATAAAATTATTTGCTTTATAATTTTGTCTAATATTATAATGTCCTGGAACAGCTCTGTATATTTTAAAATTGCAATTGTAAATGAAGCTCCCCGAAATACACCGCAAGTTTAATGTTAATTTTAATAAAATGTTAAATATTCCAAAAAAATTATATCTTAAAGCACAAAACATAATTAAAAATTTTAATTACGCCATTTTGTTATAAACATACCCAAGATGATTGTGTAAAATTTATATAACTCTGGTACAATTATTACGTCCTGCAGAGCCTTTCAAAAATGCACTATATTTATCACTATAGTTTTTCGCTAACTTGACGCACATATTTTTTAAAAATTCATATCTTGAACCAAAAAACGTAAATAAAAATTTTAATTACACAATTTTGTCATAAACATATTCAAGATCATCATGTAAAATTTACATAACTCTGGAGCAATTATCACGTCCTGCAGAGAGCTCTTCAAAAATGCACCACTTTTTTCCAACTACAAAAATCTATGTTTTTCAATCTTCAGCAGAGTTTATATAGTAGTATATATGTCTATAGTGAATTTTTTTTATTTTTCTAGGTAAAATCATCGTCATTTGAATAAAATGAACAATAATATAGTATCAACCGTTAGTTTAAGAAGAGCAACACCCGAAGAGAGAAGACGATTTGCTAGGAAAAACAAAATTTGTAAAGCTTTCATGTGTCTTTGTGCCATTTTCATTGTTGGAGGTGAAAACAAATATATACATATTTAAACTTATACATATATATATATATATATATATATATATATATATATATATACCTATATGCATTCGGATTAATATTAATTTCGCACATTCGTTCTCATACAAAAACTATTTCAATTTCAGCGCCGAGAATTATTTATTCATTTCGCAAATGCGAAATGAAAATTATTAAAATGTGCGAAATATTTTATGCCCGAAAGCCCTTTCGGCCCTTTGTGTATTTTGCAAAATATTTTTTAATAATCTTTTTTTCACAATTTTTTGTTACACGTTTAATTGTAGTTGAAAAAACTGTAACTGAAAAAATAATAGACGATTGTAATTTATGAATAATAAATACGTAGGTAGGGTTTCTACAGTTTTTAACAAATATTTGAGGGTTGTAATTTTTGTTTTCAGTTTTTATGGGGGTAGTTGGTGTCACCATATATTTTGTGCGACTAATTGCCGATAGGCCAGATGACTATTGCGCCCCTGAATTGTGCCCTAAGGGTGTCAAACATACAGCATGCAACCCAGTAAGTACTTACAAAATAGCTAGAAAAATTACGACTGCTTGATATCAAGTCGCCTAACAATTTAAAAACTAAATATCCAACTATAATAGGAAAAGTTTTATTTTTATTCCTATTCTTAACAATTTTTATCAATAATATTTAGCAAGATGCACCAATGATAAATGTCAATGTTGTACTAAAAAAAAATAGTGGGCCAAATCGAAAAGTATTAAACCCTCGCTAAAAAAATTACGATTGCTTGATATCAAGTCGTCCAACAAATTAAAAACAGAATATTTAAGTAAAATGTGAAACAAATGTTTTTATTTCTATTCTTATCAATTCTTATAAATAACATTTTCCAAAAGGCACCGATGATAAATATCAAAGTCGTACTAAAAAAAGTACAGTGGGCCAAATATTTGTATACGGCAAAAATGCATGTGGGGTGACAAATGAAAGGTCTCGACGAGCATAATTGAAATACCTCAGTGATACCTCACTAAACAAACCAATAGGGTTCTTTGTTTCAATTGACGTTTGATACATTGTTTAGAGCTTCACAACATTAGACAATATTATGCACTATTCAATTTCACACAAATTTGCCGAATATCATATTACTCTCAGACAAATAGTTCAAAAGTTACAAACAATAAAGTAAATAAATGCGTGATAAGCGTGTCGTCGAACTGTAAATAGTACAGCGGGCCAAATGTGGCCATAATATTTTTATATGGTGAAAATGCATGTTGGGTATCAAATGAAAGGTCTCGACGAGCATAATTCAAAAACCTCGGTAATTTACCAAACAACCAAAAGAGTACCGTATTTTATATTTATTAAGTATCTACTACTATTTTTTTGTTGCAATTGAGGTTTCAGAGTAACCTGAGTCGTTTACAGCTTTGGCATATTAGACAATATTATGCACTATTTAATTTTACACAAATTTCCAGAATATTCTATTATCCTCAGACAAATAGTTCCGAAGTTACAAGCTATAAAGTAAATAAATGCGTGATGAGCGTGTCGTTGAACTGTAAATAGTACAGCGGGCCAAATTTGGCCATAATATTTTTATATGGTAAAAATGCAAGTGGGGTATCAAATGAAAGGTTTCGACGAGCATAATTCAAATACCCTAGTGATTTACTAAATAAACCAATACGAATCCGTATTTTATATTTATTTAGTACCTACTAATAAATTTTTTGTTTCAATTGACGTTTGAGAGTAGCCTGAGTTGTTTAGAGCTTCAGAACATTAGACAATATTATGCACTATTAAATTTTACACAAATTCGCCGAATATTCTATTACTCTCAGACAAACAGTTCAAAAGTTACAAACTATATTGTGAATAAACGCGTCATGAGCGTGTCGTTGAACTGTAAATAGTACAGCGGGCCGAATCTGGCCATGATATTTTTATATGGTAAAAATGCTTGTGGGGTATCAAATGAAAGGTCTCGACGAGCATAATTCAAATACCTCAGTGATTCACTAAACAAACCAACACGGTTTCGTATTTTATATTTATTAAGTATCTACTACTATTTTTTTTTTGTTTCAATTGAGGTTTGAGAGTAATCTGAGTTGTTTAGAGCTTCACAACATTAAACAATATTATGCGTTAATTAATTTCACACAAGTTTGCCGAATATTCTATTACTCTCAGATAAACAGTTCCAAAGTTACAAACTATAAAGTAATAAATGCATCAAAAGCGAATTGTTGAACTGTAAATAGTACAGCGGGCCAAATGTGGCCATAATATTTTTATATGGTAAAAATGCATGTGGGGTATCAAATAAAAGGTCTTTATAAGAACTATCTAAATATCCCGAAATACATATTTTATTTATTATTATTAATTATGATTTTTGCAATTTTTTTAGAATTCGGTTCCTTGCAAAACTTTCAAGGAAATAGCACTTTTGCAAAAGGAGCAGACGAAAATACTAAAATTGCACAACGACTGTCGCAAATTGGTTGGAGTCACAAAATCGTTGGTAAATAGAAATATTTTTTTGCAAAATGGTCAAGAAATCTTAAAATTTGCAGGAAACTAGACAATATGCTTAGATTATACTTTTGAATGTTTTAGCATATGGGTTAAATATTATTTTTGTAAGTGTGCTAATTATAATTAAATTTGGGTTATATATTGAACGTGGTATCAATTTTTACCAAAAATTGGAAACAAAATAACAAAAATATTAGATTTTTTAATAATCATTTAAAATATTTATCCTCGATGGATCTCTTCTGGTAAAATTTAACAATTTATATGTAATGTAAATACAAATAAAACTATCGATAACATTACACAAAGATTTTATAAAACAAATATACATAATGATCACAAAAAAAAATTACTAAAAATTCTGTAACTTTGATTTAGTACTTGATAAACAAAACTTTATATCTCTTAGCAAAGTTCACACAGACACTAAAGCAACTCAACCAAAATTATTGATAAAGTATCTTCTTAAATTGTCCACAAACTCAAAATAAAAATGAGGGAAATTTTGCAAATTCCATAGAAATACTACATATAAAATTCACATTAAATCTATATAAATTTCATACAAACTCGAAATAAATTCGCCTTAAACTGCAACCGAATTCAAATTAAACCTAAACTAAAATCCGAAACAAACTGAATACAATCCTTATACGAAATTCATATAAAAAACAAACAAAATCTGCAATAAACGTATTTATGTATAAATAATGTATTTTTTATTATTTAGTATTACTATTATAATTTAATGTGTTTTCTTTTTAGAAATGGAATGAAGAATTGGCCTTTCTGGCCCTTGTACATGCCAGAAGTTGTCCAATGGAGGAGGACAAATGTCGAAATACAGGTAATATATATATATATATATATATATATATATATATATATATATATATATAATTTAAAATACATTTTTACTACTTACAATTGATGTTAAATCCGACGTAATCAACAAGACTAGCATAATATGCACTCACCTGAAACAAAATAATAAATTTATAAAAATATTATTAATAACTTCATAACTAATTTTTTAACATTAACTTATTTTTTATTTTTTTAAATAACTGTTATAGTCAAATTTCAAAACCTAATCGTCTTTAACATCAAAAGTTCATATTCTATCATATAAAAAAAACAGATACTTGAGTATAACACTAGCTTCATCTATGGACGTCTGCCAATTACGATTTTAAGGTATACAAAGAATCTACAAGGTTGCTACTATAGAAAATATTATTCAGTATTCAATTCTGTACAAATTTGTCGAGTATTTCATCTATTTAGGACAAACCGTTCAAAAGTTATAAGAGATTTAATAAATAAATGCAAGCTTGACTTGCTCGCAAAGTTATTGGTACTGTAAATAGTACAGTGGGCCGAATTGGGTTTAAAATGTTTTCATATGGTAAAAATCGATGTGGGGTATCAAATAAAAGGTCTCGACGGGCACTTTCAGAATATCATACTCAAAACATTTAGCAAGCCTTAGGGTTCCGTACAATAAAAACTTTTGTGCATAAAAGATTATAATGTGGTTTTAACAGCGATTTTAAATTATACTGATATGCAATAAGGTTGTTGATATACAAAATATAATTTAGAATTTAATTCTGTACAAATTTGTGGAATATTTCATTCACCTCAGACCAACTGTTTAAAAGTTACAAGAGTTTTAATAAGTAATTGCATTTATTCCACTTGTTTGTACTGTAAATAGTACAGTGGGCCGAATTGGTCCCAAAATACTTCCATATGGTAAAAATCGATGTGGGGTATCAAATGAAAGCTCTCGACGAGCACTTTTAGAATATCACAGTCAAAAACTCAGTAAACTCACAGGATTCCGTACAATATAGTTTTTGAGTATTTAACATTATTTTATTGTTTTCAACAACGATTTTAAAGCATACCGAGTTGTTTTGAGAGTATATACTGTATAAAATCTTTTTTAGTAGTCAATGCTGTACAAAATTGTCGAATATTTCATTCACCTAAAATCAATAGTTTAAAAGTTACATTAAATTCAATATAAAAATACACAAATCATTTACTAGTACTACAGATAGTACAGTGGGCCGAAAAAGGGTCAAATGTTTCCATATGATAAAAATCGATGTGGGGTATCAAATGAAAGGTCTCGACGAGCACTTTTAGAATATCATAATCAAAAATTCAGTAAACTCACAGGGTTCCGTACAATATAGTTTTTGAGTATTTAACATTATTTTATTGTTTTCAACAACGATTTTAAAGCATACCGAGTTGTTTTGAGAGTATATACTGTATAAAATATTTTTCAGTAGTCAATGCTGTACAAATTTGTTGAATATTTCATTCACCTCAGACAAGCCGTTTAAAAGTTACATTAAATTCAATTAAAATACAATTAAATTCAATATAAAAATACACAAATCATTTACTAGTACTACAGTTAGTACAGTGGGTCGAAAAAAAATTAAATGTTTCCATATGGTAAAAATCGATGTGGGGTATCAAATGAAAGGTCTCGACGAGTACTATTTAAATATCATAGTCAAAAAAATATATTCCTATTTTTTCAGCTCAATTTTTAAATGCTGGTCAGAACTTGCACATATTGTTCGAGCCGGATCCGACTATAAGATGTCACGAGGCTGCAATAAAGAGCTGGTGCACATCGGGCAGCCGGATGTCAAGAAATCGTAATAACGAAGACAATGTGTAAGAGATTTATATATATATATATATATATATATATATATAAAACTCCTGTCTGTTTTTATGCTTTATTTTGAAAAAAATTCAAACAAAACATAAGACGTTTCGCAGAAGGTTGTTACATTCAACTTTTTTCAGGTTATCTCAACAATATAATCAAATGATCGAACCGAAAGCAAATTTCGTCGGATGTGCAAGTGCTGAATTCGAGCTGAGCAAAAATAGTACGGATGTAATTTGTTTAACAATTTGCAATTACGATGAAGCACCTGGAAAATAATTGTTGTAAATGAAGAAATGTAAACTATTATATAGAATAATATATACTTTATATCGTGAATATTGTTTTTTTATTACCGCCAGAAAATCTTTTTGTACTAATACTAAGAGTTTTATCGAAATTGGACTAACCGTTTGGGAGAAGTTCAATGTCATACAAACTAAGAGAGGAATTGAATATGTTTTATTAGTTAACATGGTATCTTAAACGCGAGATAGCAGTCTATATTACAAAGTATGTTATTTAAAACTTGCCATAAGGTAAAATTGCTATAATTCCAATATGCTTTTCTTATTTTTTATTTTTTACTAAAAAAGGGAGTATCCACTACACCTCACCCCCGACGAACAATTTTTCTCGTAGTGTGTAAAATTCGCACAAAGCCTTTTATCACAAAGCAAAGAACATAATTCGTTCGTCTAAAAATAGCCCAAGAGTTATAAACACACGTTGCCAGCCAGCCAGCCAGCCCAGGAGAGATGCAATCTCGAAAACTGCAGCTCAAACAAAGTGCAGCTATAGCTATTAGCGCCCGTTTTGTTACTAGTAGTTAGCGCCGAGTTTAAAGTGAGGGCTGGGGGAAAAAATGTAAGGGTGCGTGAAACTCAGTGGATGTGATAGTTGCAGGAAATAAAAACAGAAGGACAAATATGAAGTTAGGGAGAATCGAAGAAAGCAATAAAAAAATGGAAAGAATCGAAGAGAGCAATAAAAACAA